CTGCGGCGGTGTCCGCGGGATAGGCCGGTAAAGGTAACCTTGTGTGCGCTTCCAGAATAAAGAGGTGTCGGAACTACTATGAAATTCTGGGGGTGGAGAGGGACGCCAGCGAGGAGGACCTGAAGAAAGCCTACCGCAAACTGGCCCTGAAATTTCACCCTGACAAGAACCGCGCCCCCGGAGCAACGGAGGCCTTTAAAGGTGAGGTGGGGGCAGGCCCGGCTTCGAAAGTCATAAAGCAAGATTAAAACGAGGACAGACTGCCTCAGGCTTAACAGTTCTGCACCTTATGTAAAGGCATCATACGGGCCCATATAGCTTGTCATTTTTATAGACAGCTATGTGCATCTCCACGAAATCCCACAGCTGGTCGGCAAGATTTGCCTTTTAATCTTCAGAATACAGATTTCCATTGGAAGCAAAGGGAAATGTATCCCAGATCTCTTTCCTAGATACTGCTAAAGGTTCAGAACGATGCTTGGAAATTATACTGGCCGTGCAGGAGAGTGTGGTGTTGTGTAATCAATAACTGCTCTGTGTCACAAATAAAATTTTTTATATAGATGCAAGCATATGAAATTTGAGTCCAATATTCTGTGTCTGGACTTTTCAGTAATGTTGCAATCTAAACCTGCATCAACAATGTTAACACCTAAACTCTTACATCTTTTGCCTTTTCCGTCCCGTGTTGCAGCTGTCTGCAGCAGCACTGTAAGGCAGCACGAGGAAAGTAAGGTATTCATTCATAGTCTATTAGAAGAAGGAGTTTTTGAAGGGCCTTTCTTTATTTTTTTGTGTTGCGGTTGTGTTTCTCTATGAACTTGTTTCCAGCTATGTTCTGTCAAAGATCAAGGAAGAAGATGAACCAAACAAATACTTCTGGATGGTTTGACACAGTGTGTGAAATAGATATGCTGTACAGCTTCACAAGCATCTCTCCTGACAGAAAAACTTGGAATATGGTTCTGCATTTTAATTAGTCTCTGCAGTTATTAACTTTGTATTAACTGTATATGGTATATGGAGGTGCCTTCTGTATCAGTGCTTAGTTTGATCTGATAAAATGTTATATTCTCACCCAATCTCTTGACTGAAGTGGAGTCTCTCACCTCAGTTTTACAAGTATTTCAACTCTGTCCATATACTTTAACACTTACGTCTTTCTCCTGATATCAGTGATAGCAGGAAATAGGTTCTATCACAGGTAATGCCAGTGTTGTAACACTTTTTTTTACAAAGGGAGTTCTTTCAAAGGTAACTCAGTCTTTGGTCAAGCACAAATTTTCTATGCCTGTTTGGGCTTTTTTGCTACTCTGCTTATAAAAGTCTGAGATCTGGAAATACTGCGTGGTATGCCTGTGTAACACTGCTTTTAATTCACTCTCCAGCAATAGGCAATGCTTTTGCAGTTCTGAGCAACCCTGAAAAACGATTACGATACGATGAATTCGGAAGTGATCAAGAGCATGTCAGCACTGGCCAGACCAGGCACTATAATTACTACACAGAATTTGAAGCAGACATTACACCAGAAGAAATATTTAATGTGTTTTTTGGTGGGCACTTTCCTACAGGTCAGTATCTGTCGGCAGCGTTTTTGAAATGCAATGAACTGACACTAGACCATAAGGGAAGTTCAGCTTCTCTTGGTACTGCTCAGGGAGTTGATTATACATCTGAAAAGAGCAAAAACTTTTTTGGCTTTACTCTTTTCTCCCTGCCTAGCTGTTTATGCCTGGAAAAGCTCCCTTAATGCATGGGATTAATTTCCTTAACTTCAGATTTTAGTAACTCCATTCCCCAAAAAATGTTATCAAAGCCCAGCCTTGCTGTCCAGGAATGCTCCTGGAAGGGAGCGCTGCCAGTGGGGTAACGGCTGGTGGTGCTGGGGGGAGGTCTGGACCCCCCCGCCCCTCTTTCAAAATTT